CTCTGAGGCCCCCAGCCGTGGTCCAGAACTGAGCCTACTCAGCCTGGACCCGACCCCCTTGTGCAGGCAAAGTTGGTCTCGTTCACTCTAACATAACGCATATGCCTTATGTTCGGGGGAAGGCGGTAGGCATGGCGTGGATATCCAAGAGTCACCAATGTGATGAGAAACAAGTTAGTAAAACAACAATGCAAAGCAGCAGAAGACTGTAAACTGTAAAATAGCAATCTGACTTGTCAGACTGAGCTCCCACTACCCAAACGTCATCAACATGTTGAGATGCAGGGGAGGGAGCATTCATGGACGAAACGTCCCTCCTTGTGCAACAAACACAGGGGGAGTAGACGCAGGTGATAGAGGCAGAGGAGACAAAGTGTGGGGAGGAGAAGAAGAGAATGACAACTCAATGTGACCGCTGAACAGTAGTAGTCTCTTCCTAACTCCCAAAATTGGCACCAGAACCACTTTGGCCTCCTGTTTTTTGGAACTGTAACAACAGGGACGGTGGCTTTTATCCGAGATTAGACTAGGCAAGGGAAACCAAAGCAGGGGTGCAGAAGTAGTACATCCTTCCTTTTGCACCATTTTTAAACTAGCTTTTATGGATTTAGGCCAGGACATAGTCGTCCGGACGACAAAGAAGCGCTGGTGAGCCTCGCCATTGAAGCCAAGTATGTGCTTGATGACAACATTGTGAAATGCTTTGATCGAATCAACACTCGATTAAAAAATAAAAAATAAAAAAAAATCAACACTCCATACCTCCTGGAAAAGCTAGACACATGTTACATCTTCGACGCCACACAGGTCCTACCAGACCCAACGTAGGGTTAGAGGGACACAGTAGGGCCTAAAGGCCCGACCTTGGGGGTACTACAGGCCGTAAAGGCCTTACCTTGGACCAGACCCGACGGGCAGGCCCAAACGACATTACCGTTTGGGCCTGGCGGCGCTCTTGAGGCTGCCGCCCRCSGGTTKGGGCTGAACYRYCCATCTTGACGGTTCAGGGCACGGCCAGGCCTCGCAGCATTGAGGCCGGCCTCTGCCCACCGGTACAAAAGTACCGGTCCAGCCTCATTGAGGCTATCGACCCACCGGCACGCTACGGTGCGGTATGGTACGGCGCGAATCAGCGCTGGCGCTAAGTTTAGCGCAGGAGCAGCGAGGAGCAGCGCAGCGCAGCATTAGCGCAGCAGCAGCGAGCGGAGCAGCAGCAGCGGCGACTGGGCGTTATCGGCGGCCATAGCCGCCTGAGGTATTGGGAGTCGGAGGTTTCTCTCCTCCCTCCCATTGCCAGTCCCCTCTCTCTCTCTCTCCTCCTCGGCTCCCTCCTTCTTCTCCTTCTTCTTCTTCTCTTCAGACTTCATCATCATCTTCTTCTTCTTCATCTTCTTCTTCTTCTTCTTCTTCTTCTTCTTCTTCTTCTTCTTCTTCAGATTGGAGACTTATACTAGTTGGACAGAGATCAGAGTTGGACTTCGGTGGTAAGAGGCTGTGGTACTTACCGGATTCGAGACTTGGAGATTGTTGGGGATGATACTCGGCTGCATCACAGATTGGACACCGGTTACATTAGGACTCTGTATCTCCGACATTGGTGACTTATTGTCCGTGACATTTTGATCTTGTTCGAGGACATTTTGGATTACCATATCATTTGGTGCTACCTACATCTCCCACCTCCTTCGTCTCTCCTCCCACCTCTCATCTGTGTATGTGTGTACGAGGGCATCGTCTATGCTTGGCCCAGACCCCACCATCTCACGATTGTATGTGTGTGGAGTGATATCTATGTGAGTCAGTCTATGTGAGTCAGTCCGTTTATCAGACTTCCGCTGCATATATGCTCATCCTACATTGGTTGATCTTTGGTTCTGCCCATACTCATTGAAGTATGTAACAGTTTTGGTATCAGAGCAGACCATATAACGGATCTGCTCACAAAGGTAAGTCTTCAGCATTCCGTTTTTGGATTACGGCATTCTGTTGTAAATCCTACATTTCGTTTTTCTTTTGGTATTTCCGTTTTTCTTTCAGTATTGGAAAGTAGGGTTACGAAAATCTTGGTTATTCAATCAACTTGGGAATTCCGAACGTTTTGGAACCGTCATAACGGAAATTCCGAGGAAACGCGGAAAATTAGGGTTGGGCCCGAAATTTTCGCGAATTTTTTTTTCTTTTCCCTTGTTGGAGAAATTCCGAAAACGGATGTAGGCCTTTAAAAATCGGATTTTGACGGTGGAAATTCCCGAAAATTCACGTTTTTGAAAATTCGAGTGTTTTTCTCCGGATTTTTTTGATTTTTTTTTTTGGCAAATCCGAATCCGACCCTCACATTGCAACTTCCGGGTAGTTCACTAATTAACGGTGAACTCCCGGACCATTATTGATCTCAACAGATACCTAATCTTAATAACAATTCCAATTCATTCATTATCATTATTGCAAATATTGTTTTGATTGATTATTATTATTGCAAATATTGTGGTATTGATTACCATTAAGAATTATTCTTTCGTCATTTATCATTAATTAATTTTATTGATTAAATATTTCGTTATTACTTGTTCTTATTACGAATTTTTGGAATTGTTTACGGGAAATTATTATTTTTTTCTGTTTTGATTAGGTGTCTACAGTCCATCAGGATCGAGGGTCGTGGTACAGGCTAGGGGCGGGGTGTGTTGCGGGGTCCTCGGCCCCTCCCCGTTTCGTCCTGCCTTCCTTGTATGCGTATTGTTTGATTGTTCTACCCCTGTTCCCACTCTCCCTACCCTCCCCGTACTCTGTGACCACCRGGACCCCTCAAGTACCACATCATTTCACACTGATGTCGATGGAACAAGACTCCGGGGCACTGCCACGACGCAGTGCCAGGCTTGCAGTTCGTACCCGCCCTGTGGTACCTCCAAGACCCAAGCAGCGACTCAGCAAGCGGAAGACTCCAGCAGCATCAAGTACAGCAATAACTGTACCGAGTACCACCGGGGTTCTTCCCGCATGCCCGGTCCAAGGGGCCGGTGAGCCGTTGGCAACTTACCTTCAGCGGGTACAGGCATTTACAGATGCCGTCTTCACACTCAATGGACACAGTTGCCACACACGAGACAAAGGTAGATAAGAATAGGACCAAGACCCGTCACTTATATTATCAAAAATTATGATTACAATGAGTTCACAGTTCCCTGAGTCAACGCGCTTCAGCGCAATACTAATCCCACATCAGATACATCAATGCCACCTTCGTCACTTGCTTCTAGCTCAGGTAAGTGTCCTCCATAACCAGACCTTGAAAGAACACTCTCTCTNTGGTACTTACCGGATTCGAGACTTGGAGATTGTTGGGGATGATACTCGGCTGCATCACAGATTGGACACCGGTTACATTAGGACTCTGTATCTCCGACATTGGTGACTTATTGTCCGTGACATTTTGATCTTGTTCGAGGACATTTTGGATTACCATATCATTTGGTGCTACCTACATCTCCCACCTCCTTCGTCTCTCCTCCCACCTCTCATCTGTGTATGTGTGTACGAGGGCATCGTCTATGCTTGGCCCAGACCCCACCATCTCACGATTGTATGTGTGTGGAGTGATATCTATGTGAGTCAGTCTATGTGAGTCAGTCCGTTTATCAGACTTCCGCTGCATATATGCTCATCCTACATTGGTTGATCTTTGGTTCTGCCCATACTCATTGAAGTATGTAACAGTTTTGGTATCAGAGCAGACCATATAACGGATCTGCTCACAAAGGTAAGTCTTCAGCATTCCGTTTTTGGATTACGGCATTCTGTTGTAAATCCTACATTTCGTTTTTCTTTTGGTATTTCCGTTTTTCTTTCAGTATTGGAAAGTAGGGTTACGAAAATCTTGGTTATTCAATCAACTTGGGAATTCCGAACGTTTTGGAACCGTCATAACGGAAATTCCGAGGAAACGCGGAAAATTAGGGTTGGGCCCGAAATTTTCGCGAATTTTTTTTTCTTTTCCCTTGTTGGAGAAATTCCGAAAACGGATGTAGGCCTTTAAAAATCGGATTTTGACGGTGGAAATTCCCGAAAATTCACGTTTTTGAAAATTCGAGTGTTTTTCTCCGGATTTTTTTGATTTTTTTTTTTGGCAAATCCGAATCCGACCCTCACATTGCAACTTCCGGGTAGTTCACTAATTAACGGTGAACTCCCGGACCATTATTGATCTCAACAGATACCTAATCTTAATAACAATTCCAATTCATTCATTATCATTATTGCAAATATTGTTTTGATTGATTATTATTATTGCAAATATTGTGGTATTGATTACCATTAAGAATTATTCTTTCGTCATTTATCATTAATTAATTTTATTGATTAAATATTTCGTTATTACTTGTTCTTATTACGAATTTTTGGAATTGTTTACGGGAAATTATTATTTTTTTCTGTTTTGATTAGGTGTCTACAGTCCATCAGGATCGAGGGTCGTGGTACAGGCTAGGGGCGGGGTGTGTTGCGGGGTCCTCGGCCCCTCCCCGTTTCGTCCTGCCTTCCTTGTATGCGTATTGTTTGATTGTTCTACCCCTGTTCCCACTCTCCCTACCCTCCCCGTACTCTGTGACCACCRGGACCCCTCAAGTACCACATCATTTCACACTGATGTCGATGGAACAAGACTCCGGGGCACTGCCACGACGCAGTGCCAGGCTTGCAGTTCGTACCCGCCCTGTGGTACCTCCAAGACCCAAGCAGCGACTCAGCAAGCGGAAGACTCCAGCAGCATCAAGTACAGCAATAACTGTACCGAGTACCACCGGGGTTCTTCCCGCATGCCCGGTCCAAGGGGCCGGTGAGCCGTTGGCAACTTACCTTCAGCGGGTACAGGCATTTACAGATGCTGTAGCTACCGCAAAGGCACAGGAGGAGGCAGCAGCGGCGGAACGTCAGCGGCTGGCCAATGAGGCAGCGGCCCTAGCTCAGCCGACTGCTGAGGCTGACGCCGTGGTGCGAGACAAGCGGAACGCCATTTGAATGGAGTCCTTGACTACGAATGAGAGTCAGTGGACGACACTGCTCCAAGGCATGCTGTTTGTGCCTTCGGAAGCACAGGCGGATCCGACACCAGCGGAGGAAGAAAGGAGCAACCTGGCTAACCTGATGTTGAACATGATGCGAGCGATCATGTGGAACAACACGATGCTAATGGTGCAGATACACGAGGGCAGACAGCTGCGACAGATTCAACAGAATGATTCTGCAGCCTTAACAGCTGCTGTTCGCGCTGCCGCCACACATCAGCAACAACAGCAACAGTTGTTGAGCAGCACCACCGCACGCGTCAACAACATCGAGGCTAACGCCTCAGCAGCGCCAGGCTGCACGACAGACGAGATGAAGCAGCTCAATGGGCGCATCAATCATGTTGTCAACCTCATCGGCTATATAGGTGTTTTCAATGGGCCGGACACGATCAGTAGCACGATGGCCGCCATCAAGACGGACATCACCAAGCTGCAGACGAGACCGGATGCCGCTACGAAGACTTACAAGATGCCGCACTTTGACATCAGCAAGTTCGACGACTACAACAAGTCGGACGCCTTGACATGGTGGCAACGTTTCCTCACGTAAGCATCATGCCGCACTGTCCCGGCGGACGACATGATGAAGGCGCTCTACTTACAACTGATTGGAGGGGCGCAGGCATGGATGAACCATCTGGCGGCTACTAAGAAATGCACCATCGCCGAACTCCACACGCACATTCCGTGGAAGGAGTTCAAGAAGCTATGGCTCACCCGGTTCATGGTTCGCAACGTCGTGAAGGCAGCCATGAACGAGGTGTACACCTACTCTCAAGGTAGTGTGCCAACTCGAGACTGGACAACTAAGTGGTAGAAGATAGTGACCACGCCAGGCTTCGATTTGAGTTTTACCAATCAGCGATCCGAGTTCTTCTCGCGATCATGCGCAGGACTGCGGTTTGCACTCGACAACGAGTACGATTATGATTCATTCCAGGCCATTCTGGATCGAGCGAAGTTAGTCATCCAAATGGATGACAAGGCCGCAAACGAACGGCAGTCCCAACCGCATTATGTGGCTAAGCAGGGCTATCAATGACCGGTACATGCCGTGATTTCTGAAGAAACAGTCGATCTCCATGCTGCAGCAGCATCCTCGAGTGATGGAGGAATTGTAGCAGCGCTCCCGCCGAAGCGTCCCAAGAGAGTTTGGAAGAACAAGGCGACACAAGAGACGGCATCGACGGGAACTGGGCTGCAACCATGGACGGCTTACAAGATAACCAAGGATGTCTATGACCTCCGTCAAAAGTACGAATACTGCCTTTGGTGCAACGACGTCATGCATTTGACCGCACAATGCCCCGAAAAGGGCAAGGCACGCGTACCCCGTCCAGCAAACTCGGGAAACTGAGTTACGGAAGGAGAGGGGCGACGTCTCTCCTCACTCCGCCGGAMCCGGTTGCCTTGCTAGCAATCGATGACACTACCGGGGAGCATGCGTTAGTCGCTGATTCTCGTGCTACGTACGAGGATTATGCCGCCCAGTTGGTACCACCACTAGACCAGCCGAGCCACGTGCACTTAGATTGCATATGCGCAGCCTGTACACTGTCGGCAAGTGATCCGGTCAGTTCGCCACTGATTTCCGAGGACTCGACGACGTGGTCAAGACTTGAGGAGCTTGACCCGCTCACGAGAGAGAACTTCGCTTGGATGCCTCTACCCTCGACCGGAACCTTGCCAAGGCCGCATTGCAACGCCTTGATGGCAAATCTACGCTCCTATTTGCACACTACAGTACCAGCTCCGTTGACGTACGACGGGGTAGCGGTTGTCGATCTTCGCTCCTATCTGGCGAAGATTGACCGCGAGTACGCCACCCAAAGGTACGCCGAAACCGACGCTCCTTTGCTCTATATCCGTATTCAAATCGGAAAGGCAACCTGTAGTGCCTTGATTGATTGCGGAGCGTCTCGCAACTTCATGAGCCAAGCCTTTATGGCCCGCGCAGGTCTTGGCCCGCGCGTTCGAAGGAAGACGCAACCCACGCAAGTTACACTCGTGGACGACCGCACGCAAAAGTCGATAGACCGATGCGTCGACGGCGTTCCGGTATACTTTGCGCCACTTGCGTGCGAGCCAGTGTCTTTTGACATCCTCGACACCAAGTTTGACATGATTCTAGGCATGTCTTGGTTGCGTAGCGCCGATCATCCGGTGAACTTCCATGACCGAACCGTTCACATCCGTGATCGGAACGGAGTGTTAGTCCCATGTACGGTCGCGACCCCTCACACTTCGATTGCTTGTCACGTGGTTTCCGTTGCGAGAATTCGTGATGCCATAGCTCGGAATGACGTCGAGGAGATGGGCCTTGTATTCTTGCATGCTCTCCCCTCGCCAGACAGACCAGCCGCGTCACTGCCGGACCCACACATCACTCACCTCTTGGACGAGTATGGAGACGTTTTCGAGGCGCCCACCGGAACGGTTCCGGATCGGCCCATACGTCACGGGATCACTCTCGAGCCAGGCGCCGTCCCTCCGCGTGGATGTATCTATCGCATGAGCGAAGAGGAACTCGAAGTGCTTCGCGCACAACTCGATGATCTTCTCGACAAGGGCTGGATTCGCCCTAGTTGCTCGCCATACGGTGCACGTGTTCTCTTCGTCCGGAAGAAGAACAAAGATCTACGGTTATGCATCGACTATCGCAAACTTAACGCACAAACCGTAAAGAACGCCGGCCCTTTCCCTCGGATTGATGATCTCCTTGAGCGGTTAGGCGGCGCAACGTACTTCTCGAAGTTGGACTTGAAGTCAGGTTACCACCAGATTGAAATCCAGCCTCAAGATCGGTACAAGACCGCGTTCAAGACGCGGTACGGGCATTTTGAGTGGGTTGTCATGCCCTTTGGCCTCACCAATGCCCCCGCAACTTTTCAAGCAGCTATGACGACTGAGTTTCGCGACTTGCTCGATCGCAGCGTCCTCATCTACCTCGATGACATCTTGGTCTATAGGAGGACGTTGGACGAGCACATCACACACCTTCGCCCTGTTTTGAATCGTTTGCGACTGGCCAAGTACAAAGCGAACTGTGACAAGTGCGAGTTCGCCAAGCAAGAGCTTGAGTATTTGGGCCACTATGTTACGCCGAAAGGCATTCGTCCCTTAGCGGACAAGATCCAAGCCATCGTGGATTGGCCGGAACCCCGTTGTACGACGGATGTACGCTCTTTCATGGGTTTGGCTGGATACTATCAGCGATTCGTCGAGTCATACTCGAAAGTGGCCGCTCCTTTGTCGAGACTTCAGTCCCCGAAGGTGCCCTTCGAGTTCGAC